CTGGAAGAGAGCCCCCACTGTCGTACGTGAAGGGCAGTCTCTCGGGCCGCCTCCCTTTAGTCTACTTCCTTGCAAGGAGCCTCGGCTACCCTTTAGCCTTTCCGCCCCCACAGCGCGACGAGATCGATGACATTAGTGAGGGAATGTTACAAGAATGCTTAATTATGGGCAAAATCTTGGCCCGGACGGGAGTCGAACTCACATCTTTTGCTTACTAGGGCTACCATTACCCTACCGGGGCACCATTTTACCCTGGCTCAGCTTTTGGTGGTATGTTTACCGTAGCCTACCAGCACTACACGTAAAATTCGAGATTTGGGACTTACGATCCTGGCACTTCCTGGACGGGGGTGGCATAACCCGTAACCCACCAATGTGTTTCTATCTGTACTTCTTTTATTGATTGCCTTATGAATTGGTGCATGGGACAAATGCGTAAACAAACAAATGAATCGATCAATTTACAAGTCGCACCGTAAACAAATGAATCTGCAATGGCGACGAAACAAAAGAGACAACAGCAAGCATTGACGCTGTCTGTGGGCCTAATTGCATAAGGAGGGTCACATTTGAGTTGTAGAAAACGGATAGATGGCGTCGTTCTACAGCTGTTATATAATGGCAAACAGAAATTTGTATGGAAGACGAAGAAGAACTGAACCGGTTCCATGAGACATATGATCAAGTATTAAAGGCATCGCGCTCGGAAACAAGCTGTTCGTGTCGTAATTCTATTTTTTCTATTTCATTTCAACTCTTAGAACTTATACGGTATAGCCGTAATCGCTGGCGGCCGTACCGGTTCCGCGAGAGATTCTACCGCAGCTTCAACTGCTGGGAGGATTTGCTGCCAAGAACAGTTTTGAGGTGGATCGCTGGCGGCTAAGGGGGTGGTTAGCGCGGCTTGTAGCTCAGTGCCAAAACAGGGGAAAATGGGCGTCTTCTCGGTGATGAAAAAGGTCTCGCCAGATGAAATAACAGCGAGAGGGGTGGGAATGCGGTCCTGTCGGCGTACCGATTTCCCAAGGAATTCGAGCACTACGCGGCAGAATGGAAAGAAAGATGGCACGACGGACGAGTAGCAACTTCGGGTTTTAATTCATAATATTTGCTGTGCGTGGCGCGTCCCATTACCGGTTGCCAACGAATTAAAGTGGAGTCGAGTGGGAGAGTCAAGAGGCGCCGGCGTCATAAACATTTTCAAGTGGTGGAAATGAAGCAGTGACAAATTACGCATAACATGGAACGGACGTGAGGGCAGGGTCACCCGTCACCTTGGCAAAAATCGTCCCCGAAACGACCCCTTCCCTAAGACGATAGGTAATGTGTCCATAGTGTGATATTGGACCTGGTTCATCTTGACCCACTTCGAAGCTCCGCCCCAAAACTTCAAAAGTGCAACGAGGAACGGGGAGGGGGTTGAGGGTATCGACTAGGTTAAAAGATGAAATTTCATAATTCCTCCGAATTTCGTGAAACAATTCTTCATTTTAACAAAAATCTGATTTTTACCGTGTCCAGTCAAAAGTACGGCTTGCTCCTTAACAGGGCCTTACCGTTGCGACTTTTCCAAAAATTTTTACGACCTCCCTCTAGCAATCA